TCCGGTCTCGACCACGGGTATTCTTGGGTTGATAATACAGATGTGGATGTTATTGCTTGAGAATACGCGTAGTCGAGTGGAAGCTCGATCATCGTTGTTCTGGACATATTCGTGTTCATCAGCCGCTCTGAGGAATATGAAGAAGACAACATTTTTTTTCTCTTTATGATGCTTGCTTTGTTCAGTCAGAAAGTGGTTTTAAGTGGAACGCCGCCAAGGCCAAATCAAATTCAGCCGCTGATGAGGTTTTATCATCTCTGATCTTCYATCCGCCGTGTTGGCCCTGCACACTTGTAGAGCCGGTGACTTTGTTTTGTCAGCAACGTTCAGCCAGTCCTGCCCGTGTTTCTGGCAGGAAAGTCTAAGCTGAAAACCCCTGGTATTAGTTCAGGGAGCTTAATGGAAAATTCTTCCGACTCGGACGTTAATGCCAATTTCTTAACTGMGTCCGCCTGTCATTCACAAGTGAGCCCATAATCTTATCAATGGACKGGTGTCTTTCAGAGCCCTTCACGCTTGAAGCATGTTTGGACGTATTTGGTAGATGGTACATTATAACTACTGAGTACTTTTCCTYCCTACCTTTTTGCGACACATTATAAAAAAAGGGGGAAAGAAAAGAAAAATGTGAGTTTGATGGCAGCAACAGGCGACAGTAACACATGCAGACATGGAAAGCTTGCACCCGTGGCTGACATTTCAGCGTTCGACTCAGTCGACTGGCTGTCATGATGGAGATTTAGGCTCATGCACCATCACTAAAAAACTACACCAGGGCTTTACACAGCCAGCATCCCAGCAGGGAAATAAGGTTTGAGAGCTGATGAAAAACAGGCACACTGAGACATCGTGTCCATTTGAAAGCACACGCAACGTTCGGGTTCACTGGGTCCGTGCGCCGGCCGGGGRGGAAAGGAGAGATTGACTGCTTTTATGGGTTAACTATTTTTGGTCAGAATGATGGATGTTTATGTCTTTTATTGATCAACTCGAGGACCGGGTTTGAAGAATTCTCTGACGTTCAAGCTCGCTGATTAATCGGGCAGAAAAAAGCGCCCTGAATTACATTTTTGGAACATTAGCATTATCGCTAAGTATTATAAATTAGAAAATCAACGTCTCTTTGCAAATTCAGCAATTCGTTAGTTGTCTCAATTACTCTTGCGTGATTTCTTTCCACTGTGTGACGATAATTAGCAAAAATTTCACTCTGACGTTGGGTGAACTTGTTGATTGGGCAAAAAAAAGCTATTTCTATGCTCGCGTGTGTGTTTATACGAGGTCGTGTGTGTGTGTGCTTCTAAGCAACAAAATGACTATTGTGAGCACAGCTCCGGGTGCCTAGCAACAGAAATTGCTCTGTTTCCCTGGCAACGGTTGCCTTGGACTCAAATGTGTGGGTGATTGGCAGCCTTGACAACGGAGACGAGTGTTGACACTTGACCTCGTGCGCCGAACGGGAGAGGCGAAGGAAAGGAGCGAGGGAGTGGGGAGGGGCCAGAGGCAGAGGAGAGGCTAAGTGATGATCAGTCTCCATTGTAATCATCCTCCAGCATGTTTCATGAGGCGCTGTCAATACCTCTCCAGCTGGGGTCCATCATCAGAAACAATACACAGTGCAGGGTGTGCATGCAGCGGCACACTCCTCCTGGGTGGAGAGCCCAGGCAGGCACTCAACATCTCATCTATTATCACTCAGAAGACACAGTGTCTTCTTTCATTTGTGCTCTCTGCTACACCCTGCGCTCGGCGGGGATGAATGAATTGGATGCAGGACTTCTAAAAGTGAGTCGTCGCTCACATGTGCCACAATACAGTCAGCTGAAAGACTGCGTTCTCAACCAGGGGCGGAGCCAGGGGGTGGCCGTGGCCACCACAGACAAACCTTTGGCCACCCCGTTGGCCATCCTGCTGTACACACCAGCTGAGTGAAGCTGACCCCTCCCAAAAAATTAACCACAGAAAAATAAAAGGCAAATTGGATGAGTGGTTAATGCTTCGTTTGTGCACGTTTGTGCACTTGAAATTGTCGTTTGTGCTGCTATGGGTTTTTTTGTATATTAAAGATTATTTGTAAGGGTCATTCAGGGGTCACCATCCCACCCGCTCGCTCCAAAATGAACCAAAAATGAACCAAACTTGTCKAATTTTGTAGTGCTTTGTTTGAGCCGGTTTGTGCCGTTGAAACAGCTGTTTGTGCTGCTATAACTTATTAGATATTACTCGTTATAATTTCGGACGATCACGTGACTTGGCCTGAATTGTTTACGACGTCACAAACAAAAATTAATGTTATTCGCAATTTTATGCAATATTACAATATGTTGTCACAATATGTGTTTGTGTTCTGGCTGTATTATGTGAGTGGCTCTAAGCATCAAATTTTAACTTAATACAGTATGTTTCCTAACCCTAACTCCAAAAGTTGATCAGTTGTAGATTTATACATCTAAAAATTACTTTCTGAAAGCTTCATTAAAATCCATTCAGTGAGTCATGAGATATTTTGCCAACAGTTAACTTCAGTAGGTAATAGGAACATTTCAAAAATAGATTTAGTGCAAACGTGTGTTCAGAGTAAGAGATCGAGGTGACTCTTTTACTACCACACCAAATTTTAAATTAATAACTGTGACATTAGCTGACTTGTAGCCATTTTTTGTTTTTATCAAACACCGTTAGCTACGGCAGCCATGTTGTATTGGTTTGTCTTTAAAGTATCAGTTATACTGTACATACAGGCCTAACCATGCAAATTACATCCTTAGAGTTTCCTTCAAATCTGGCAGTGAGTTTGTTTGCATGACAGTCAAACACACACACCTGTGGTGTATTGTAACAAAGTACGGTACATACTCGTCACAGTACTTAAGTAATGTTTTGAGGACTTGTAATTTTACGGTTTTGTTTTTTTTAATCAAAAATTTAACTTTTTTTTACTACATTTAAAACAAAAAAAAAGATCATTTTACTTTTTACTATACAATTTAACACGTTACAAATTTAAATGCGACCAAAACTCATCATGAAAGGAGTTTTTTATGCACTCTAAGAAATGAAATGTTGAATTTACATAAACTGTAAATTGCTAATTCTACTCAACTTGACTTATTGGAACCAATTTAACACTTTATTTCATAGTGCCAGYGGTGGGCACAGTTCCCCTAAAGCACTAATAGGGGAACAAATTTCCTGATTAGGGCTTTTGCTAATTTTACAATTCATTAATGGATTAGCACTTGTTAAATTTTAGGCTAAATTTAGAAGCACTAACTGAGGTCTTTAAATGTTGTTGATCAACGTTAATGTTAACAGCTGAGGGTGAAAGCTGTCACACATTTTGTTCATATGTGTGTCACTTATCCACCAGGWGACAATATATGAACTCAAATACAACTGTGGAATGTCAATGATGAGTGCAACAGGGCAACATGTGACTCATGTTGTCTGTTGAAGAATGTTCATGGGTTGACTGGGTCATTTTAGTGCTTTAGAATTAGCTTTTGCTAAAACTTTCAATGCATTAGTGCTTTAGAATTAGGGGACCTAAATATTTGAGTTAGTGTTTTAGTGTTAGTGGAACTAATTTTTAGATTAGTGCTGCCCGCCACTGCTTAGTGCACGGGTRTAAACGTACTTTTACTTTCCTGATTATTGTGAGTAGTTTTATGACTTTTACTTAAGCACTTTTACATTTTTACCAAAGTWATTTTATGTTAAGGCATTTTTACTTTTACTTGGTTGATTCTTTAAAGTACTTTATGTACATTGACACACACACACATGCAAAAATGTCATATTTTTGTCTTTGGTAGCAGGCAATAAAAAGTCAAATTTTWAATACTAAAGATATTTTACACTACAGTATTATAAATTAATTTAAAAAAGCCCTGTTCCATTCATTTTAAGAATTTTGAATAAAAAAAATTTTCAGGCCGCAGTGAAATTAATTTACCTCACAAAGCATAAATTATCTGGCTGCAGTTTGGTTTTACAGAGTCAATTTAAAGTTGTGTAAGAATTTTACTTCAACCTTGAAAAAAGTCACAAATGGCTTTGACACATGCCAGACATCTTTTTCAGGCTCACCGACCAACTCGTTTAATTTAATAAAACAGAAATCATGTTTGAAATWGTTTTTATTTTACAGCATTACATTACATTAAATCTCACACACTCTCTGGACATATCCTGCAAACCCCCTCTGACCACAACAGCTGCAACTCCATCCCTTCTCAGCATTTCAACTTTGACATGGAAGGTGGGGGATTCCTCCAAGGAAAGCTCGGCCTTTATTGCTACTWAGATYATGGACCTAATCACGAGGTTCACATGTTCTTTGATGATGTGAAATGTGTATACATTGATCATAAATGTATTGTTTTTAATATGGCATTCGTTAAAACTTAACTTGGTTCACAAAGTGTTTCTCTTTTATCTGCAGCTGCCTCGTCGTGCTCTGGTTGGGAATAACTTGGGAGTTTCCATCTATTAAATGTAATCAAAAGATTGTTTGTTCCAYTTATTTGTTCAAAATACAGCTTCTTATTTTAGAAAATGGATAAATTWGATGTTTCTCATACAGAACATAAAAATGCTAAATAAAAACTAATTCCACTCTTTTCATGCAGTGTGGATGTGTGCTCAGGCRATTTAGTAAAAACTTTTTCAACATCTGTAAATCTGACACTTTATAAAAACAAAATTGTTAGACATGCACCATTCCACATACTGATGAAGTTGAAGATAAATTATTTTTAGCTTTTTGAATCTGGTTCATTGACAGGATTTAAATGCTGAACACCACCACGTGTTGCTCTTTAATAATAAACCAACACATACTGCTTAAGGACATTTCTTCTTTATTCAGTTGATCAGAACTAAACACTTTCACACAGATGAGAGGTAAAAAACTGATTTGGTTGCARATGATTCTTACTAATGATCKGTGGGAAAATGCCGATTAAGCCATAATAAGATTGATATAAAGAAACGAGATGCACTTTTAAAACAGGTGATTTATTCCTTTTGGAAAGAGCTTTCTTTCAGTGAGCATAAAACAAACAAACTCATGAAAAGCAATAAACGTACCCGTTAAAAATCAAATGAATTTTGTCTCTGAGTGGGATAAACTAATACTGTGGAACTAGAGTCTTTATGAGGAAACAGAGCAGTAATCAGTGTTGCAAAAAGAAAATGGCAGCAGCAGCATGTTTGACTGGGAATGAATCACATGGATTATTTTACACGTACAGAAAGGACTTGGATCAGTTGCAGGATTTAAACAAGATGCTAAAATTAACTGTAAAATGTGACGACAACCAGCTGAAATGAATTAAAATCCAGCTCAAGCRGTACACTCCTGCTGAAAATCTGAACAGAAAATAAATGCTTTCTTTTCAAAATGACTTTTCAATTTTTACCCGTTCAACTTTTAATTCTGAACCGATTCAACAAGAACAGTTCTGAATCTTTGTCCTGAGGCTTATAAGGTTGCTTTCCCAATGAAATACAAAAATATTCAATTTTTTTTAATGTACTGTATAGGTCTCTTGTAAAAAACTTATGGCTGCTCTACCAACTGAATTTTAAATAAGCAAAATATCTACATTCTTGTTTTTGTACTTTACAAAGTAAATATTCTACTCACCTGCATTTATCTGAGAGCTAGCACATTTCTAAAAAAAAAAAAAAGAAGGAAGAAGATAACCCTTTTCATGTGAGGTAAAAGTGCCCTTCAAATAACAAATTATGTCTCAACAATTAAAGTCAGAATTCTAACTGGAAACAATGGACGTGAAAGAAAAAGCTAAATTTCAAAATAAAGTTTTTTTTGCTGCAGACCTCAGATTGTTGCTCACAGCGTTGTAACTTTCAAGTAACCAATAAATCTGTGAACGCCAGAAGTGGAAATGTTAACCAAGTCTTTGGACCGGCTGCTTGCTCCAAATAAACACAACACCATCTTCTTCATTTTCCTGAGGTACGTCCAGGTCCATGAAGACTACTGATTGGCTGCTTCACAGGCATCTATCCAGTCACTGTACACATCAACTGGCTCCGACAAATCTACAGTCAGGAGCTGAGGAAAATCTACAAAGAGTGGACGGACAGTAAATTGCATTCTGAAACAGAGCTRAGCATTAGGACAATTTAACACCATTAAAAAATGTCTTTCACTCATTCTAAATCCAGCGACTCATTGGGTCTTGTTGGCCAATGGAATTTGTGAAAGAGTAAAATGTCTTCAAAYGTTTCTCACGTGGCTCGCAGCCTCGTCTCTTGAACATGTAAAAAAAAATGTGCAAAGTTCCTCTCAAAACAGTCACAGGAGTCTCAAACTGATCTCAGGTAAGTTTTAGTAACTCTATRGCACTACATCATTTTTGACAAGGGCATGGGAGCTCCTACCTGACAAAAAAACATTCAAAAYTACATCAGAAATCAAAGCATGGCTGCAAAAGTGGCTATAAAATGGGCCAAGTGCAATGTAAGCAACAAAATAATGTGCCCAGCCTAGAATACAATCTTACAAGCTGCAAACGTGCTGTGCAGATATAAAAATAGGTAGTGATTTTTTTTTTTACAAATTGGTTGCTTGAATGCTGGTTCAGTGAGACCGCAACAGATTTTTCTTGCAATCTTAAAAGGCAACAAGTTGCCAACAATCACAGATCAGTGAGATACTACTTTAACATAACATCTGCCTGTATATTATTTTTCAGCATAAAACAATTCTGCTTTAAATGGAAGAATAAAAAAAAACTCAGCTACTCGTTCGGTTTCCGATTTGTTTACCAAGATTTGTTGTAGCTTTTAGAAACCTCTAAACCTKTCAATCAATGGTCACAAGTTACTGAAGAAAAAATATTTAGCACAGAGTTTCTACAAATCAAGTACRTTGTCAGTAAATAACGAAATAACTRAAKGTTGCCCACAATATTGATTGCTTGTTAACAGAACTATTTATATGAAAGATGACAACTTTGAAAATTAGCTGAAGGTTTATTTGAAAACTCATTTACTTCACTGGGTATAAAATGYCAACAAAACATAGAAAGTACTGCAACATTTAAATGTACTGACAATATTTTTGTTAATGCATGTAAACAAACTGTCTAGAAGTCGAAAAAGGATACAGGTGATGGGAGTCTGGAACTCCTCTAAGCACACAGAACAAGATATGATCCCAGTGTTTCTGCTTCTTTCCCTGTGGACACAGAAAAGACAAGTTACCAAGCATTCGATAAACAGAATAGATGAAAATAGCTGCGTTCAGGTGGGTATTTAAAGTGTTTTACATTTTGACGTCACACGACTTCTCGTGGTTGCAGAAGGGGCAGGTGAACTGACTTTCCAGGTCCCCCGTCATCTTTTTCTTAGGGGGAGGCTTTCTTTTGGACTTGCGGCGTCCCATTTCACACAAACTGAATAAAAGAAACAAAAGACAGGCCAGCATGTGCCTAAAGTGAATACCACCAAACATTTTAACAAAAAAAAACAAGTTAACTTGGCACTGACTTCCGTCCACTGTTGGTCAGTTAGCATGCTAATTGTTTGTTTTGAATGTTTATTCGCTATTTATTTTGCATATAGACACGTGGAATGTACCTCGTTTATAATGTTTTTAATCAGGCTTCGAAAACAGTATAAAGTAAACATAACATCACAGTTAAAGTTAATTCGCGGAACTTTAATTTTGTTTACCTTTGCGAGTTAAAATTCCTCGACGTACTGAGAGCAAAACCTCCCGGTTCCGGCTGCCACTTCCTTTCACTGATTGGAGGAAAGTGCGAGAGTTCAAGTTTGTCATTGGCTGTGTTACATGTCAATCAGTTTAACAGGAAGTGACGAAATGTGGATGGTTTAAAAGAGTCCCGCATGGTGGCGACAGAAACTCACGCAGRCAGGTGTTGTGCCTTTTAAATCTTGTCATGTTTTGACTGTTGTTAGCTTTTTTTTGTTTACATATCCGTCTACTTTTAATAAAGTGTGCATCGTAATTTATTTATTGTGTAGTGCTGTTTAGAAACATCAAACATTTTGTCATTAAAACAAGTGATGCTTTGACTAAAGCTAGCTAACTTTAGTTTAGCGTCTTTTTTAGTTAAAATACAATCGACAAAATGGATTGAAACGTAAACAGAAGAAAAAAATCAGTAATGTCAAATGTGAATTTTGTCTTGACATAGATTTTTATAATATTTACTGCAAGGTTTTGCAGGATTAAACAGCTCAGTTAAAGCAGTATTGTTAATAAGTTTGATTGACATGCTTTTTATTCTCATGCAGTTTACCTTTAATTTACTAGGCTACTGAAGAGCCGAGAGAGAGAGAAATTCCTGAGTTCTGATTTTTTTCTCAGAACCTTACGATTAAAGTCAGAGTTTTGTCTTTTGTTCTCATATTTGATGCATTTTTAAGGTCTGCCTGAGGTTAAATGTTCCAAAAATAAAATTTCTAGACCATGTGTAAGTAAGTAGTGGACTGATGACATTCTCACATAAATAATGCATGAAAATTTGGTTATCTTTGGGTTATCACATTTTATTCATTTTTAATTTTTTTTTTTTATGTACAAATGTATAAACTTGTACAGTTGAAATCAGATGTGCACTTACACTGTATACATACACATAACTTTTTTTTTCCTTTACTGTCTGACAATAAATCACACTAAATTGTGCCTGGTATTAAATTCATTTCTATTTGCTAAATATCYAAATTTGATCTCATCACTCTGGACAGAATCGGTGGAACTGAGTCAGGTTTGTAGACTGCCTTGCTCTCAYGTGCTGTTTTGACTCTGCCCACAGATTTGTGTTGGCCAATTCGTAAACGTTGACTTTATGTCACTTTGTAACTTGGCAGTGTGGTTAAAGTCATTGTCCGTTTGAAAGTACATTTGCACCCAAACTTTAACTTCCTGACTGGTGTCTTGAGATGCTGCTTCCACTTACTGTTCTGTCCTCACAATGCCACCTATTTTATGAAGTGCACCAGTCCCTCCTAGCAAAACATCCCCACAACATGGTACTACCGCCCTCATACTTCCAGGTTATTATGGAGTTCTCAGGCTTGCAAACCTTTCCTACAAATGAGAATTATGGTCAAACAGTTCAGTTTTAGTCTAATCAGAACAAAAGACATGTCTCCAAAAATTAAAGTATTTGTCCCTGTGTATTTTGTCCTTTTATCTGGTTCCAACCGTATAAATCTTTGTATGGTGGTAGATGTCGGTGTTGTGGACTGTAAAGGTGGTTGGCCTGGGGGCAGCGGCCCTCACTCTCAGTCTGGAGCTGCTGGGTCGGCTCTTTGGTCGCCTAAAGCAAAGAAGAACCCTAAATGAGGTCCTCTTCTTCCCGTCAGACATGGCCTGTGTGGAGCACATCTTCACTCCCACCACCACTCAGTAAGTGAAACATTTATATTTATTGGTTGGGTTAAGTCTGATCAAAACATCTCTGAAGTTGGTATGATACAACAAAAAATTACTTTGATATGWATTTTTTTCATGCAAAGGATATTTTCGTATGTTAAATATTATTTTGGTTATGTATGAATGAATTTGCATTCAGTGTGATGAAGGTTTAAAATACTTTTAAAACTTTACAGGTAATTTATAATACACATTTCTTTATATATACTGTATATACATACACACACACACATACAGTATATATACTTTTTTTTAATACTGATTTTTATTCCTGGTTTCTTTCCAGCTCCTGTTTCTGCCCCTTGCCTCATGGTGTGGAGACTTCTTTCTCCCGTCTTCTCCGCCACATCTTGTCTGCTTCCTCTTCTCTGGACTTGTGTATTTTTTCCTTTTCCAACATGGATCTGTGTCGGGCTGTACTGCTGCTGCATAGCAAGGGCGTAACTGTCCGAGTCGTGTCTGACAAGAACTACTCTGCCATAACTGGCTCCCAGATCGGTGTCCTCCGCAAGGCTGGTAAGGGAAACACGTTTTTATTTAGCTTTTTTTTCTACAGTTTGTATGTCTCAAAGCTTTATAATTAGTCATTGGGATCCATTGAAAACTTAACATCTAATCTGATATATTTTAATTGACTTAGAAAAAAAATCAAATGACATTATATAAATATTATTATACTTATCTGTATTCATTTGAGTTGAACTAGTTGGGATGTATATGTGTGTGTGTGTGTGTGTGTGTGTGTGTGTGTGTGTGTGTGTGTGTGTGTGTG